TCTCTTGTTTTCTGTAAGAAGGTCCATGGTCATAGTTCCTCTTTGGAGGCCCTGAACCATACGCCCCATATGACTTGCTTCCTCTTTCATGACCCTGATGAGGTCGAAGATCATTGGACCTCATTGGAGACCCCGAATCATAAGTCCCGTGTGCCTTGTCTGGTCTTCCGCATCCTTGAGATCTCTGTCCCTGAGATTGTCCATAGTCATTAAATGACCTAACTGGAGCCCTGTGGGCTCCTAGCGGAGGTCCTCGAAAGGGCACATTATTTGATGCGCCACGAACCCCTCTTGTAGGATAGTTCCCTTGGAATCCTCTATGACGGTCACTGTGGCCGGGATGTTGACCTCGAGGGCCACCCTGCAAAGACATGACAGGGCCTGGATGGTAACTTCGGGGTTTCCTATCGACGAAAGATTGGCTCCCACTTGATCCCCAGGGTTTTCTTCTATTCTCGTTTTCCTTGTACTCTTTTCCGGCCCTTTGAAACTCGGCCACAAGGCGCTCAGAAGTGGCTTTGTCTTCTTCAATGAACCACACATCATCGAAAGTCTCGCCGACTTCCGGCAAAACAAAATTCGCTTTCATCTCAAGCACTGCCGACTGTGGCACAATCTTCCCGTCTTCTTTTTCCGTTTTTGCAGTGCGCTCTTTCAACACCTCATCCGTGGTCACAACCACTACAGCAATCCGTTGGTAACCATGGAAGTTGCTCATCTTTCTCCTTCGTGCACTGAAGTACACATTGGTCTGGTCAAGGATATAGTTACGATTCTTCCTCTCTGCAATTTTGAACATCTTGTTCAAGGTATCAGTTGCTTGCTTGATGAGGGCGTCCCAGCGGCCTTGGTAGTTTCGTTTCCGCATCAAACCCATCACTTTCATCTTGTCCATGATCATATTGGTCCCAAGAATGCAGTACTTCTTCTCTGGATGGTCGTTGGCGTATTTCATCGCCCAAACGGTCTTACCAGCTCCTGGTAGCCCCACCATCATGATAATATCACATTCATGTCTGGAGGCTGGCCCAACTGACCCTCGTTCTAAATTCTGAGGTGACACCCTCGAAATCAAGCTAAAACCCTGGAGAGGTGGTGAGTAGGGCTCACGCTGGCCAAAGTTGATTGCAAGGCTCATGTTCCTGACAGTAACATGAGGAAAGAAAGTCTGTCCATTTGATTCTGCACTAAGACGAAAAGCCACACCCAGGCACCTTCCATTTTTGGTAAAAAGAACAACCCTTGGATCAGAGTCCAGGTCTATACAGCAACAAATAATGTCGCCAGTAGAATAAGGTTCGCCATAATCAAAAAACTTATTGTTTACAGAAACTTTCCCTGTACCACCATAACCATATGACAAGGTGTCTTCTCCTACCTGCAAATTAATTCAAAAAGATTTCAATTCTTTTGCTAATGAGACAGAAATTCTACGTCATCCCAGGAAAAAATAAAAGAGTTTTAAAAAAGATGTGTACAGTCGAACCGCTATTAAGCGACCACCCTTGGAGAAGTGGAAGGTGGCTGCTTAAGAGAGATTGGCCAGTTAATAGAGGTTGGTGTACCCTGAACATTTTTTTACCATCAGGATCTCTGCTTAGTAAACATGGAATCACATCAGCACAATCATGGCAAATGTGTGTCTCCGTGTTTTACTAGTCGTCCCTTTCTATTCAGAACTCTTATCTATCATCACCTTTTCCAAAATGAAGCCAAACTACATATATTAATTTTTGGGTGGCTGTTTAAAGTGCCTATGAAGTAAAAAATAATTGCCGCTGATCTGCAAGGTTTTTCAGAGTAAAGAAGAATGGCGTTTTCGTTTTAGAGATATTCACGTTTCTGTATTTTGAGTGATGACGTCATAGGTGGTTCCACAAAAACAGTTTAACAATCAATCAAGAATATCTCTAGAAATGTTAGAGCAGTGTTCTTTAAACTTGGCACCAGAAATGTACATCACAAAAGAAACAAAATGACACCCATTGTGCTGTCGCCATGACAACAGCTGTGCCGCTGGTCCTGATTTAATTAAAAAGAAAAATTCCCAGATTTTATCTTAAACAACGATCATTCACTCCCAACAATCCGATGGGGAGAGTTAAGACAATATGGGAACCGTGTGTGTTCCAAGCAACACCCTCTGTCCCTCCTCAAAGGGTTGCAAATGGGCATATTTGGATTTTCACAGAAAGAGACTGGAGCCAAAAGTGTTGCCATGGTAACAACACAGAAAGTGTCATTCTGTTTCTTTTGTGATGTACATTTCTGGTGCCAAGCTTGAAGAACACTGCTCCAATATTTCTAGAGATATTCTTGATTCAGTGTTTTACTGTTCAAGTGGAATGATTTATGATGTCATCACTTTCCTCATTTGCATAATACAAAAATGTAAAGATCTCTAGAACGAAAAAAGATATTTCAAACAGGTAAACACCACTCTTCTTTACTTTGAAAAGCCTTTCAAATAAACAGCAATCATTTTTTACTTCATGGGCACTTTAATAGGGGTAAAGGCAATAGGAAAATCCTCATCAGGACTACGAAAAGGTGGCCACGACCGCTTAATAGAGGTGGCTAGAAAATAAAGGTTTCATTTACAGTATTTTACTGACAGTGATTTTGAGACTTTGATAACTGGCCACTTATTAAGGGGTGGCTACTTAGTAGGTGGCCTCTTAATAGCAAGAGGTTTGACAGTTGTGATTTAAAGTTGGTCTCTTCCAACATGCTTATGAGAGGTAACTGCATTGGGTTTAACTTTGTGCTCTTATGGGTGGTACAGCTTGAAGGATCCAAGAGCAACTAAGCTTCACTAACCTGAAGGTTTGCTCTGTCCACAGACCAACCTACCCTCACAACATGAGGATTAGTTTCTGTTTCTGGCATTGTTACTGGAAGTTTTTCCAGTACACGAACTTCAAAGCAGACCTGTAGATGGCACAAAAGTATTTGACAAATGTATGTTAGAGTTTTCATGTCACTGCTAAAGTATCCAAGATTGTAACTGGTAAGTGAAGGTGACTCTGTCTTTTCATATAAATCATATTTTTAAACAGGGCTTACTATTGGAGTTCTACACAAATTAGTGTGGTTTCAACAGATGTGTCAGATGTAGTAGTCTGGTGCCACAGCAACGAGTGAAATTAGATGGACAGAAGTATTTATGTCAAAACAGATGTCCCCCACCATGTTACATCTGGGTTATAATATTATTATTCGAAATACTCGGGAAAAGAATTTTCCCAGCCCCCAACAGGAGTTGAACCCATGACCTTCCAGAATACCAGTAAGGTCATGGGTTTGACTCCCGTTGGGGGCTCGGAAAATTCTTTTTGCCAGTACTTCGACTTGAGAACGCTTGTCCATTATTTACACTTTAGCCAAGTCACCAATCCACTTATCATAATATCATTATCGACCAAGCCTGAGGTGAAAATTGCAGGATATTGGCCAAGTTCTTCTTTGCTTGCTTATAGACTGAGAGTGGGTCAAGGTCCATAAACATGCAAACAAAGATGAGACAAATATCAAGCAATCTTGACTGAACAAGTTTGGTCAAAATGGATTTTAATATATAATAAAGAACACCAAAAAGAATTTTTCTTGCAGGATAAAGCACATAATCTTGAGCGGACAAAATAATTAATGTAGCAGGATCAATGAGCGTGGCCAATCAGGTCATCGTCACCCAACCTTCAAAGTGAACTAGTTGTGTCCTTGTGGTTCCAGTAAAATGCTTTGATCGCTTAGTAAGTAAGGATGTTTGTAGTGGAATTCAAGAAGAGATGCCACTGGAATATACAATGAACTGCAAGTATTTATACAAATTTGTCTCAAGAAATCAATGTGCGATCCATGGAAAAACAGGGAAAGCAAAACTAATACATAATTTTTATCTTTAGTAGAGTCTGTGGGGTACCATGTGATGAACCTAAAGGTCGCTGGCTGAAAGGTGGTGGTATCAATGTACAACTTTTGTACATGTTTTGCTCTTCAAGTCACGGTTGATTGTGTTTGACAAATTTTCAATTAATCATTGATTAACAAATTGATGTCATGTGAAGTATATATGAAATAATTCATATTTGAACTGCGGTAGTAGATGAAAGTGAAATATGATCATCGCAGTAAATTTTCCAATTTAAGCAACTGGAAAGAAGAAGCCTGCAAAAAAATCAGGGCTTCAACGGGATTCGAACCCGTGAGANTACTTCTTCTCTGGATGATCGTTGGCGTATTTCGTCGCCCAAACGGTCTTACCAGCTCCTGGTAGCCCCACCATCATGATAATCTCACATTCCTGTCTGGAGGCTGGCCCAACTGACCCTCGTTCTAAATTCTGAGGTGGCACCCTCGAAATCAAGCTAAAACCCTGGAGAGGTGGTGAGTAGGGCTCATGCTGGCCAAAGTTGATTGCAAGGCTCATGTTCTTGACAGTAACATGAGGAAAGAAAGTCTGTCCATTTGATTCTGCACCAAGACGAAAAGCCACGCCCAGGTACCTTCCATTTTTGGTAAAAAGAACAACCCTTGGATTAGCGTCCAGGTCTATACAGCAACAAATAATGTCGCCAGTAGAATAAGGTTCGCCATAATCAAAAAACTTGTTGTTCACAGAAACTTTCCCTGTACCACCATAACCATATGACAAGGTGTCTTCCCCTACCTACAAATTAATTAAAAGAGATTTCAGTTGTTGCACTAATCAGGCAGAAATTCTATGTCATCCCAGAAAAAATATAAAAGATTTTAAAAAAGAATGTACATGTATGCAGTCGAACCACTATTGCAGCCACCCTTGGAGAAGTGGGGGAGGCGCGGTGGCCTCATGGTTAGTGCGCTCGTCTCCGGATTGAGCAGTCCGGGTTTGAACCCTGGCCGGGGACATTGTGTTGTGTTCTTGGGCAAGACACTTTACTCTCACAGTGCCTCTCTCCACCCAGGTGAATAAATGGGTACTGGCAAACYTAATGCTGGGGGTAACCCTGCAATGGACTAGCATCCCATCCAGGGGGGAGTAGAAATACTCCTAGTCACTTCATGCCACAGAAACCGGGATAAGCTCCGGCCTGATGGGCCACTTGGCTCGCATGCAGACTTTCCCTTTACCTTGGAGAAGTGGAAGGTGGCTGCTTAAGAGAGATTGGCCAGTTAATAGAGGGTGGTGTACCCTGAACATATTTTTACCATCAAGAAAACTGCTGAAGTAAACATGGAATCACATCAACACAATTATATCAAACGTGTGTTTCAGTGTTTTACCAGGCATCCCTTTCCATTTAGGACTGTTATCTGTCATGGCCTTTTCCAAAACGAAGTCAAACTACATATATCAATTTTGGGTGGCTGTTTAATAGGGGTAGAGGCAATAGGAAAATCCTCATCAGGACGACCAAAAGGTGGCTGGTAAATAAAGGTTTTACATGTATTTACAGTATTTTACTGACAGTGAGGCGTGGTGGCCTCATGGTTAGTGCGCTCGTCTCGGGATCAAGCGGTCCGGGTTCGAGCCCTGGCCGGGGACATTGTGTTGTGTTCTTGGGCAAGACACTTTACTCCACTCCACCGCCTCCTCTCTCCACCCAGGTGTATAAATGGGTACCGGCGAACTTAATGCTGGGGGTAACCCTGCGATGGACTAGCATCCCATCCAGGGGGGAGTAGAAATACTCCTAATCGCTTCATGCTACAGAAACCAGGATAAGCTCCGGCCTGATGGGCCACTTGGCTCGTATGCAGACTTTACCTACTGACAGTGATTTAGCCACTTTGATAACTGGCCACTTATTAAGGGGTGCCCACTTAGCAGGTGGCGTATTAATAGTAAGAGGTTCGACAGTAGTTATTTAAAGTTGGTCTCTTCCAGCATGCTTATGAGAGGTAGCTGTATTGGGAGGTTTAACTTTGTGCTCTTATGGGTGGTACAGCTTGAAGGATCCAAGAGCAACTAAGCTTCACTAACCTGAAGGTTTGCTCTGTCCACAGACCAGCCTACCCTCACAACATGAGGATTAGTTTCTGTTTCTGGCATTGTTACTGGCAGTTTTTCCAGTATACGAACTTCAAAGCAGACCTGTAGATGGCACAAAAGTATTTGTATGTTAGAGCTTTCATGACACTACTAAAGTATCCAAGATTGTAACTGGTAAGTGAAAGTGACTTGGTCTTTTCACATAAATCATATTTTTGGGCAAGGTTTACTACTGGAGTTCTACGCTAATTACAGTATGGTTTCAACAGATGTGTCAGATGTAGTAATCTGGTGTCATAGCAGCGAGTAAAATTGCATGGACAGTAGTATTTATGTCAGAACAGATGCCCCCACGTTACATCTGGGCTATAATTATTAACCTAGCCTGAGGTCAAAATGGCAGGATATTGGCCAAGTTCTTTTTTGCATGTTAAATTTATAGACCGAGATTAAGTCAAGGTCCATAAACACGCAAACAAGGATGAGACAAGTGTCAAGCAATCTTGACTGAACAAGTTTTGGTCAAAAAGCATTTTGATATTGTACAGCTGTATATTAAAGAACACCAAAAAGAATTTTTTCTTGAAGGATGAAGTGCATAATCCAGAGCGGACAAAGTACAAATGTAGTAGGATCTTGCCTGTTCGGGTAGCCAATCACAACTCAGGATTTGATTCATCTCACCAGCTCATGGAGCTAGTAATATAACATATAGATTAAGTCAAGCTATTAAAAGCAGAGCTCCTGGACCGGATTGTTGAAAGCCCAGTTAAACCAACCCAGTTAACCCAGGATATGCAAGAATTAGGATTTGAGGTTTGCAACTTTGCAGTAAGGTTTTCTGTATATTGTTTTGCCTTCTGTTTTGAGTTTGAATAATCTCAGAGTACACAAAACAACAGTAGTGAAAAACATTTGTCTACAAGAAAATTTACACTCTGGTTAGCTTTTAATCCTGATTTTTAATCAATCATCAATTAACAAATTGATGTCAGTGTCTCATGTGTCTGCACTGTTATTGATCATTAATTTCATCATGGCATTGTCAAAGTGGCTGCGGATCCAAGAGGCGATAGCCGAGTGGATCCACAGACCACTTTGACAATGTCATAATGAAATTCATTAACAACAACAGGACAGATGCATGAAAAGGAGATGTCAACTTATTCTTTTCTACAATAACAAATTGTCAAATTGTCCGCTCTCGCTCGTCTCGTCAACTTTGCAGAAATTATAAATTCATGTGTCTGTCCGCTTATTGACAATGAAAATTAGCCAATGAACTCGCGAGAATTTCTGCAGCCATTGTAACATTTCCAATCGATCATCGATCGATTTCACCGATTTCTTGACAGGCACCCACATACATCTAGATGTACCAACGTTTTATTGCATCTTACCTTGCCAGTTCGAATACCGTGAGTTGCCCTCGCTCCAGCCCACATATATTCAAACCCATCCTTGTGCAAACTCGATCCTGTTATACCGTCAGGCTCAATAACAAAATTCAGATCACTGTTGTAGTCGTCCAAAACAATGCGAGGTTGAGAACCATACGAACTAGGTGCAGCGGAATCGGTGTTGTAGCCCGCGTATTGTCCATGATACTGGCTATACGATTCGTACTGGCCGTAGTTTTGATTGTATTCTTGTCGATACATTGCAAGCAAAAGCTGAGACGTAGAAAACCTGTATACGACTACCGCTACATTCGAGATCCAAGATGGCGGCCGCGTGTAAAATAATCCCATGACGCATTGAGAGCATTGACCAATAAAAACGCGGAATATTTGAAATTTGACAACAAACGACACAAACAAACAGACAGAAGCGTTTGATTGTCAAATTATATATTCGAGCTGTGTTTGAGCATTTTGCAGCCTTTCTAAAGCATGGGCGAGTTTTCTACCCCCGTTAGCCAAAGAAGTGGAAGCCGATTGTGCGACGAAGGCGGAATATCACCGTACAATGCGTCGCCGTTTATGATCCCTCCATCTCCCTTCATGACAAGACTTGGTTGTGGTACAGGAGTTTCCGTTTACCGATTTAACCGAGAGACCAACGAAAACGACTTGAGATCTCCTTGGGCCGTGAAAAAGGTGAACAAGAAGGCACGATCGGGAATAAGCGAGAGACTGGCTTTGGAAGCCAGCATTTTAAAACAACTCCAACACCCCAACATTGTCGGCTTTCGCGCCATTTCTGGCACTGTGGATGGCGAACTTTGCCTTGCGATGGAAGACTGTCAGAAAGCTCTGGAAGACATCATCGAAGAGAAAGCATTTCTGGAGGAAGATTTTACTCATGAAGAAGTCCTGAAAGTCTCTTGGGCCATTGCGAACGCTCTAAATTACCTACACAACGAAAAAAAGATCCTTCATGGCGACATAAAGAGTGGAAATGTTCTTATCCGAGGCAACTTCGACGCTGTGAAACTTTGTGATTTTGGTGTAGCGATCAGACTAAAAGATGACCTGAGTGGGTTGAAAAATCCAGGAGATAGATACATCGGTACAGAGCCATGGAAGTGCAAAGAAGCTTTAAAAGGCGATGTTATCACAGACAAAGCAGATATCTTCGCTTATGGACTTCTGATCTGGGAGATGCTCGCTTTGAATGTGCCGCACGTTGATCTACTGGCAGGTAAAACCTCTATCAATTTCCTGTCACTTTGAAATAGAGTAGGTCTTAAATTTAGTGGTGGGTAAAACCTATAGGTCAGTTGGATGAAATTTCCCCTACCTACATGTAACTCCCTCCCCCCCCCCCCCCCCCTTTCCTCCCTTCCTCAACCAACCCCCTCTCCTCATCACTCCAGCACCCCTTCCTTACAATGGTGATCCCCATCCAATAGTTGGAAATAGTTATTATCATAAGCAGTTAGAGAGAGACATGATTCCATATAGACATTTACTGTACAAAAGTAGAAGCATGCACATGTATTCCGACCTGCAAACTCATCCAGATACACCAAATTTCCCAGTCTCCCATATGAATCCCTAATCTCCCTGATACAACAAGTACACATGTAGGAAAATGTATAAACTTTGGCTGAGTTTCATAGAACTTCAGGGGTGGATACCAGGATTTTTCTTAGGAGGGGGTGCACCAATAAGGAATCAGGACTGTCATTAAGGGCTGTAGCACGTGACACCTGTTGTGCCTGACTATGCTTGATTTCCCCTTGATACTATGGGTGAAATTGCCTGTTGTTGATAGAATTCACCCACAAAGTAACAAGTTTGCTACGGGTGTGAACAACCAGTGTGCTGGTGACTCAGAACTTAATGACAGCCCTGGTGCTGGGGTGGAGTGGAGTGATGGTGAGTGGGTGGCAATACTATCTCCTAGCATGCAAGCAGGCTCACCTTTGAGTCACACAGGTGAACGGCGAAGAGCAAAGCGATCTGGCGGGAAGGAGTCTGATGAATTCCGCTTGATTTCGCGCGCGCGGCTACACCACATGCACTTGTACTCCAATGTGAGCCTGCTTGCAGGCTAGCAATCTCCCAAATTTGTTTGTTTTAATTTGTTTTTCAGGTTGAAAATACCTTTGACATATATGTACTTCTCCAGTCCAATATTGTTGTTTTCTGCACTGTTACTCATCCCAATAGCAGATTCGCACATTGTTGTCATTTGACTACAAATATAAGAATTCCTTTCAGTTTTTCTTTATTATTTAAATTTTAAATTCCCAGTGGTACAAATAATTTTTGTCCTAATTAATGTTAGGAAACAGAAAAGGGAAAGGATTCTAGTAGTTGTAGTCAGATTGTACCATCGTGCAAATCCTATTAAATTTTATGCCTTATTCCAGGAATCCGATTGAGGAGCAATGACTAAGCACCAAACCTCTTACATGTAAATTTACCCAAAGAATTGTCGACATCAGGGCTGTCATCATGGGTCACAATCTGTAACACTTGTTACAGCTGAGTATGCTTGATGGGCCCTTGATGTTAGTGGTGAACTTGTCTGTACAGCTGTCATTGAAATAATTCACTCACAAAGAAACAGATTTGCAATAGGTGTGAAGAGCAAGGCAACAGGTGGTTCAAACCTTAATAGCAACCCTGAAACATTTGGTAATATGATATCCCTAGTTTTCAAATGTATAACTTATTCTTGTTGCTTTTCAAGGAGTTATAACATGATTGTCAATCTTAGGAGAAGCATGTGCATTTATAGGCTCCCATGACTTAGGAGATCTTAGGACTTAAAATATTTCAGCAAAATTAGCAAACATCTTTTTCTGACTTTTTAGACAGTGACTCAGAAGGTAACACAGGACTGACCAGTGACGATGAGGAAGATGATGGTGACTGTGACACAGAGGAGTATTTGGCAGCATTGGGCACGCGACCACCTTTACCAGCTAAATTTCAGACAGCAGATTCCATGATGAGTCCTGTGATTCAGCTGTTTTGCTGCTGTACCTCTGAAGACCCAAAAGAAAGGCCAAGTGCTAAAGACATAGTTGCTGCTCTTCAGCCTGAGATCATAGCTAAAAATGTCCAGATTTAAGGGTACAATAAGCTAGAAGAGTTTGGTACCTGAATGTATAGAAGCTATTGCTAACAGTGAATAGACTTGATTTGCCTGAAAATTTTTACATAGTTTAGGGATGGACTGATACTGTTTTAAACAGATTAATACAATACCAAATACGACACTGAATATTTTCTTCAACATCAATTTGGATATCGATACTGTGATGTCGTTGAGTTACCTGGGATGTCACTTGATATGTTTGATGAAATACAGGGTTGTCTCACACTATTAGTGTTGATTGTTGTTCGGTACTCGAAAGCTGCACCAACAACACAAACAAACAAGTCCAAGAGTTCAATTTATTAACTGAGAAATGTCTAAAAACTGCTTTACACCTTTTTTCCTCACATTTTCTGCTCAATATAACACATTCATCAATGTCAGGTAACAAAACATTCCTTCCAAATTTCAACTGCACACAACAGTACTATTCTTTTGTTGCTGACCAGAGTAATGAGCAGCCTCTGTAGAAGACATTTAGTACATGCAGTATCAAAAGGCATTTCATTTGATGCCTCTTGCTGGCATTGAGATTTTCTGACCTGACCTTAATATGGGGGCTATCAAATATTTGGTGTTTGTATTGGCCCGTACTTAACATAATTCTTTTGTTAGCCTAAAATTCAGCTGTAGTCGCCAGCCAGTAGAGGTGACTAAGTTTAATCTATAGCTATCACAGACTTTACCTCAACTCACAGGAATCTAGGTTGCAAGTCACAACCCTCCAGCTACTTAAATGCTTGATGGGTTGGTCTAAGAATGATTTTTGAAAAGACTGCACAACAAGCCCAAACATCATAAAATTCACCTGTACAAGAGGCTATAAAGTTATTGGCACTAGCAGATTTATGACAAGTATCGTTGAAGCATTTTCATGAAATGACCTTCACTTTCCATTTTGAGACTGAATTATATTAGACAACAAGAAAATGCCTCTACATGTACATGTAAATCACAAAATATATCAGGGATTTTGTAAAAACAATCCTATGGTAGCAGTATGTAGCGCTAAGTTTTCATGCCATGCAATTGTGCGTTACATGATATCGGATGAATTATTGTTAGAAGCAATTATATTTATTTTAGATAATATTACATTGTCAGCATTATAATGCACTGAATAGACATTTTGTACTAGAGTTGAAAACATAGTAAATAATTAAATACTATTCATGTATTTAAATTAAGAAAACCTGTAGTACCACGAATTACATGTAAGTTGCACGTTTTACACAATAAAATGCAAGTAGAATCGGAAATCATTTGATGTTTTTCTTTTGCGGATTAGCAAAAAAACAATAGCGCTGGTGATGAGAGTATAATACTGTCAGTAGAAATGGTGGGATTTAGCTTTTTGGCACTCTTGTTTCAATAATCTCCCACCCCCTTCCTTAAATAAATGTCTCCCAATTAAAGGTATTCCAGGATAAATAATAACATTATAATTGGCAGAATTTATGTAACACTAATTCATATATTGCATAATATATTAGTGTTTTACAGTCATTGCAAAAAATAAACTCCTCTGTAATTTCTAACAAAAATCCCAGGGATCATACATGCAACTAAGAAAAAGACTATTAAAGCATGATGGCTGTCATTTTGTTTCATTTGCAATGTCCATTTCTGGTGCCAAGTTTGAAGAACACCACTTAAATATTTCAAGAGATATTCTTGATTAAATATTGTACAGTTTTAGTAGAGCAATTTATGATGTCATCACTTTCGAATTCCTCATTTGCATATCTGGAGGATTGGGGTTGAGTGAGCCCGCGAACTTTTGCTCAAACAGCAAACAAAATGGAGGACCATCGAACGGTGAAAGTAGACAAAATCTCGTTTGCCAAAGGACATTCATTCAAGATATTAAATAAGTTGCATTTATTATGGAAGGAAAGTTCTATGTGTGACGCGACTTTGTTAGTTGGTGGCAAAGAATTCTCCGTTCATCGAGTTGTTCTTTCGGCTTCGAGTCCTTACTTTCATGTTATGTTTACAAGTGGTATGGCCGAAAGCTACTTGGAACATGTTGAAATTCACGGTGTAAACGCTGATGTCTTCGGTACAATTCTTCATTTTATCTACACTGGTGAAGTTGAGGTCAACGAGGATAATGTCCAACAGCTCTTACCAGCATCAAAGATGCTGCAAGTGGAAGATATCGAGGTGATGTGCTGCGATTTTTTGAAGCGTGAACTCGATTCGTCGAATTGCGTTGGGATTTACTTGTTTTCAGATGCTCATTCGTGTTCACCGTTGTCTAAATCGGCGCTGGATTTCATTCACAGAAACTTTGTCGACGTTTCCAAACAAGAAGAGTTTTTGCAACTTACCAAAACTGTTTTGCTTGAATTGTTGGAGTCAGAAGAGCTGAAAATTGAATCTGAAGAACAGGTGTTTGAAGCTGCCATGCGATGGGCTTTGCATGATATCTCCAGAGGAAGAGAAGCTTTGGGTAATATTCTTGAACGAATAAGACTCCCGTTGATCTCCCCCAAATTCCTTGAGAATTACCTCATCACATGTGAGAGTGCAAGTATTCAAAGAATGTTGGCAAGATTACTTGAAGGGTATCGCAATTACCAATCATTAGCCCGTGAGCAACAGCGGGTGCACACCCAACCAAGGCGTGCTTCCAGAAAGTGCTTTTTTATCATTGGAGGTTACAGTCGACGGGTTGGAGGGCGGTGGAGTGACACATCATCTCTTTTCACTGTTGAGAAATTTGACTCTTTTTTGCAGACCTGTGACAGTTTCACAACAGCACAATTGAGCTTTGCAAGGAGTGGGCATGCAGTTGCTTCAATTGGAGGCCTGATATATGCAATTGGTGGTGAAAATGATTCGTTAATTTACGACACTGTCGAGTGTTATGACCCAGCCTTAAATTCGTGGTCACTTGTCGCGCCCTTAACAGCACCCCGTGTAGCGTGTGGAGTTTGTGTTGTAGAAGACTTTATGTTTGTGATTGGTGGTTGGGTGGGATCTGAGATTGCAGAGAATGTTGAGAGGTATGATCCTGACCTTGATCGCTGGGACATTGTGGGTAAGGTGGAAACAAAGAGGTTTCATCTTGGAGTTGCTGAGATGGACGGATTAATTTATGCTGCTGGTAAGTTTCAAGCAAGCTGCAGTTTGTTTACATCTTGTCAAAAATATTCTAGAAATTTAAAACTGTTTTTGGGTAGTAAATAGCAAGGCTACATGTATTTCAATGGTTTGCCCTACTGAGAATAAATATTTAAAAGCAGCTTGACACTAGCACAAAAATTCTAACTAAGACTTCTGAACAAAAAATTTTTACACCCTTTCCTTTTATCCCCTAGTTCCAGGCTTTTTACCACTTTCAGCCTGAGTGTATATATGCATATTACTAAGCCTAGCTCCAGCTACTCAGAATGTCATCTTCATGGTTGATGGCAGCAAAAAATGCAGTCATTAGCAAGGTTTTGAACTTCTGAGTTTGCCAGTTATTGAAAGTTGTAATAATTTCCAATAATTGTATATTAAAATGTCACTATTCCAGTTGTTCAAACTAAGTGTTGAATGTAATGCAACCAGGTGAAAGTATACACAACACAATGTATGCCATAATTACAGAGGTGTAACCAAGATTTTTCAAAGGGGGGTCACAATGTGTCAAAGTGAGGACACTCAGCAGATTGTCATGTTGCTTTTGCCACCTGTCGCAGGTTGTTTGCTTAAAAAGGCTTACAAAGGGGGGGGGGTGACCGGCACTCCAGGACCCCCCTAGCTATGCCCCTGAATTAGAGGGGGGGAGGGTCACAGCCCTGTGGCAGGTTTGGCTTGACTTACTGACAGGTGCAAAAAATATAAACTTTACTTACAGGTTTTCCCCACTAACGAGGGAATAGACAATACTTTTTTTATCATGTATAAAATAAATCTCCATTTTTGTTCTTAAGACTAACCTTTGACGTTAAGTTAGCTTGACTATTATCTGTTACTATAGATGAAGAATTTTTTAAACTTGTGTCAGGCCAACTAAAAATTTTGATTACTATATCAATGATAATTCATAACAGATATTATCTCTTATCACTGGTTCACAGGTGGTTTAAGTGAGTTGGGAGAAGAATTGAAAGTGTTTGAGTGTTACAACCCTGTTAGTGATACATGGATCAGACAACCAGACATGCGTCACAGAAGGGCATACCTGGGACTTGCAGCGTTAGGAGGCAGCTTATATGCCGTAGGTAAGTTGTGCAAAATGGACTGATGAAAAATGAACCATGAATTATAATGCTGACTGGACTAGTGTCCAAGTTCAATTTTCTGCCTCAATTAATTGATAATTAAATTTATTTAGTAATTAAAAATACTTTTTTAGTTATCAAAGTCAGCTTGAATGGCCCTTGTATTTTTATGGTTAGGCCAGGTCCTTCATCATCGCAGCTTCTGATCATTTTCTTCTGAACTACTCAAACTCATTAGTAATTCATCGACCGTGACAGTGTTTGGATATCTGATCTTAATTAGCATAGATTTTTACAATATAATTTCTCCGTTTTCTTCTTACTTTTAGTTTTGATAGAGAAGATATATCAAACACTTAAGCCGAGTTTGAACACATTTTGAAACACCTCAAAGTTCGTTAAAAAATAATACTCTGTTGCGCATCATATTTTCAACTCTCTTGTCGGTGTTTGAAAATGTGGTGAAACACGGTCTTTGATGTTTGATATATTACTTTCTATTCCCTAATTCACTTGAGTTCCCTAAAAAAGGGACAGAAAGAAAAAAACCTCACAAGATCCTTAAACGCCTTCTTCAAAGATCCTTCTCAAACTAATTAATAATTCATCAAGTTAAAACAAAGAAAATGACAACCATGAAGTGGGTTTGGATACCCGGTCTTAATTAGCATAGATTTTGATGAATTTGCTTCTCCGTTTTCTCCTCAGTTTTTGTTTCAATTGAAAAGATGTATCAAATACCCAAGACAGTGTTTCATTGGTTATCCAAACACCTTGAATTTCGTCAAAAATACTCCACTGTGCGTCATATTTTCAACTCTCTTCTCTGTGTTTGGATATCCTGATGAAACACTGTCACTCATGTTTGATATATTACTTGAAAGATCTTGTTTTGCAATGATTGTCAAGGATCCTCGATCCTCCAGGATCTTCAAAGATCTTGGCAGGATCTTTGGGCAAGATAAATTCCTACAGGCCTTATGCGTCCAATGGCGTGATAAGGACTGATGATGACTGGTACATGTATCCCCCTGAACGTTTGGTAACTGTAGTGGCTCTTACTGCAGGTGGCTCCAATGAACCAGACGGGGCCTTGGCTAGTGTTGAGCGCTTTGATCTGGACAGAAACCAATGGACAGAAGTGGTCCCTATGGAGAAGCCAAGGGCAGGATTGGCGGTCGCAGTTAGCAGTGGGTTATTGTATGTATTTGGTGGCCGGACCACCAGTGAAGAGTACTCACCTCCTGTCACACTAACAGGTGTTGATATGTACGATCCAAAGAAGAAGAAATGGAAACATGTGACAGACTTGTGTTTTAGTAGGTGCGATTTTGGTATTGGGATTGTTTAGTCTGATGACGACACTCTTACAAGCCTGTACATGAGCTAGCTGTGCAGGGGCATTCCATGACAAACCCAACAGCAGCATGGGAGACCAGGCTGTGAAGATGTGCTTTCACTTCTTGTCAAGTCTCTGTGCAGGTATCAGTCTTGCTCCTAGAGTCTCTCTCCTTGTTGACTGGGAGTGAGGCTGCACGACTACTGACTGATAAATTAAATAGTGGTTTTTATTATACATTGAACTCGCTATCTCTTTTCTGATTGGCCAAAAGTGTACCGTGAATTTCAAAATCAGCACCTGTGATGTCATCTAGCTGTAGATTAGACAATAATCATGTCAAGGACACTCAAGGTCAGAGGTAATCATGTCATGTATGACTGCAGTGCATGATTTCTAAGGGTAGTCATGTCAAGTTCGCGCACTTTGTGTTGCCTACCGTCAGTGAAGAAGCAAAAACGTGACCTCCATTTGTTTTTTCGTTCAGTGGGTAACAAAACAATTATTAGATTTGGTTTTTGTGATATCCAGAATAATCAAGGACTCAGTAAGGGTTTTCAGTCTCAGCCTTTGGCTTTGGCTGATAACCCCTACTGCAACCTTGATTATTTTGGATATCACAAAAACTTTGACATTCAATAATTGTTTATAATGTTCACATCTGTTATCAGTAAGTAAGAAAGTCCCTAATACCTTTATTTAAGTGGCAGGCTAAAACGGCTTTAATAAAACCACTAAATGGAAAGACTTCAACAGAAAAATAACAAGATCTTTATATTATGCTTGAAAGCTAATGAAGAATAATAATTATTTACAATGTAAAAATATAAATAAGATTAAAATGCATGAGTAATATAAGATAAAAATACTTAAAGGACATTAAGAACCACATAAAATGCAATTATTACCACAACTGTCAGTCAAAATATCAAAGTCAACTTTGCAAATGTTTTTCTTAAAAGCTGATAGTGTTGGTGAACTTCTACAAAGTAAATGACTCCATGACTTTCGTAACATTGAAAGAATTTCAGCTCTTCTTTCTCACAAACAGGTAATTCTTAAAAATACATGTAGATACTCAGGCATCCTGAATAAGAATGGTGGAATGTAGGAGGTTTTTGATTCCATTGACTTTATTTTAAGCTGCCAACAGTTAATACAGTAATAAAGGAGAAACCTTTTTGTGTTAAATGGCTGGCGGATTACCTAATTTTGTTTTTCAAAACTATCTTGCTTTGGTAGTAAAGTTGGTGTAATGATTAGCAAAGCTTCAACATGTACAGGCTGCACTCATAAACTTCCAGCAGGGTTGCCTTAGGTTAGGAAATGGTCAGGTAAAAGAAAATTCTTCAAGGTCAGGGAAAGGTCAGGGAAATTCATTGTGAGTCAGGGAAAATTGACATTTTGAAGAAAGGCGAAAGTTGAGATAATTTAACACGGTTGATTCAATACCATTGAGGGCTGGCAGAAACACTTAGGGTCACTGTGATCTCAACGATACTTTTACTTGATACAGAAAGAAAATTTGTTGAAAACTTATCAGTCTTAATGAGCGAGTGGTAAGGATGGCTATAAGTTGAGGTCTCAAGCCACTACTAGATCTAACATTTTGTATTTGTTTGGTCAGGGAAATTTTATTTTTATCAGGGAAAAGTCAGGGAATTTTGAAAAGTGATGTCTGTGGCAAGCATGTCCAGCTACTGGACAGCTTTACACAGAGAGGGTGGACCGAATTCCCAAGAAAAACATGACAGGGTAGTGAAATTATGTTTGGTATAGAATAACGGAATAATATGACTTTTTGAGGGAATACTATTTATTTGCCCCCATGTAGTGTCATTTGCGGCCCTGGCGCGAAGCGCGAGGGCAGCAAATGACACTAAAAGGGTGCAGATAAACAATATTCCCTCAAAAAGTCATGTTATTATCATTATTATCAATATGCAAGACCAAATGATATCAAGAATGCGAGTTTTAATAATACAAGTGAACAACGAATTCAAAATCACTTCAAAGCATCATGTAACTGTTAATTCAACAAGCAATTAAAGAAACAACACAATCCAGTGAACTTCTTAAAAGTTACAGAAAAAATGCTTAGAATAATTGATACATCACAAAGTTATCTGTGAGAATACGAATACCTCCCGGGGGGTACTCCCAGAAAAGTTGGGTGGGGGTGTGCGGCCCACTTCCCAAAACCCTTGCCCTATTTGTGACCAAAATCTGCGATTGTCCCTACCCTGTTAATGACCTGACCAAAAATTCGATACCCTATTTATTTTAAAATTGTTTTCTTGGCGCACCTGTAAACTAGCTGGTCGTCCTGTAGACTCTGCTTATCAAGTCTATGGGACGCAAGTGACCAAGTAAAAAAAACTGTTTATGTCTGTCTATAATTATCTTTTTTACCCCTCCAACTTGTACTTGGAGGCAATATTCTACTCCGTCAGAAACGAATGTAGAGGCGCGGTTTAGCCTCTGGGGTGGGTGCGCTCGTCTCTGGATCGAGCGGTCCGGTTTCGAGCCTTGGCCGGGGACATTGTGTTGTGTTCTTTGGCAAGACACTTTACTCTAACAGTGCCTCTCTCCACCGGGTGTATAAATGGGTACCAGCGAAATCAATGCTGTGGGTATCCCTGCGATAGACTAGCGTCCCATCCAGGGGGGAGTAGAAATACCCCTACTCTCTTCATGCTACAGAAACGGGGATAAGCTCCGGCCCGCTGGGCCACTCTGCCCGTATGCAGACTTTACCTACCTACCACGTCAGGAACGAATGCCCTTATTCGGTAATACTGTATATGCCTTGAACTGGGTGGAACATTTTAAAACACTAAAGCTATAAAGCCTCCGTCATTTTGTCTGACCTCGACTATATCGCACCGTCAACTCTCGCCTTTCGGACATTCCGCTATATATTACGGACAGAAGCTAAATCCCCGTCCGAACTTACAAAGAAATGCCGGTATAGAACTCCCGCTATGACGAACTCCCACTGTAAAACGGAACTGCGGGCACTTCATGTGGTCCCAGACTAATATTTTGTATTGTTCTACTCTCGTTACAACGGACAACTTGGAGGTAATAAATGAGCTAATTATTCACCGCACTCTTGAAATGTAAACTATAGTATATCGACCTATGATGATTATAAATTACAGTAAATGTACACTACAAATAAGAAACTAGAAATCTTAAAAGGGTATAGCAGTACACCTGATATGCGACAGTTCCAAAACTTGAGCAATTTTCATCACACCCCGCTATAGCGGACTCTCGCTATTACGTACAGTAAATGACGGTCACGAGGTTGTCCGCTATAACGAGCGTTGACTGTATAATGTTAATTAATAAATAATAATATTAAAATTACTAATTTTTATCGTCATCTAGTCATCTCAACAGATCTAGAGTCTTTTTTACAATGAAAAGACCAACGACTTGACTAAAGGCGGTCCAAAATAGGTCCGCAATTCGTACTGATGCGTGAGTATATTTAGATAAGACTTTTTTTCATTCTTTCCTTTTAGTTTAAGTGGTCATACGGTTACACACACTTCACATACGAACTGAAATATGAGTAGTCACTTAAACAGCTAATGGCAGAGATTGTACATGTCCGATCCTGGTTGTAAAATACAGCACTTTGAACGGTGGTAGTCAAACAAGGATCTGCGTCGTAACAGAATTTTTTTTTTTTCAATGTTAAACTTTCGGTTATAATGATATAACCACTAATCTCTGTTTACTTCTCGAAGAGAGTTACCTTGTAGAGCACAATCTGAGATGAGGCTGTGTTTAACTGTGATATCGACGAAGTTCCTTCATGTCTCCTGAGGGCTTCAACAAACGGTGGAATTCTGTGCGTTTTCAGAACTTTTCTGATCCGCTTGACAAACTGCCCCTGCCTGAAGGCACAAAGAATGGGATTGATGCAGGAATTTAGTCCCAGACAGGCGATAGGGAGCCAGAAACCAACCACAAATAACATCTGGGTGTTATGACCACTGTTAAGTTCAATCGTGTCGTGGATGTCCTTTACAGGCACGAACGTGATTATTAGAATCATTGGTGTCAACAGGAGGACAAAATTGCTGCCAACAACAAGGGCAATCTTCCTTAAGATGGCTGCTTCTCTTTTCACTCCTAAATGGGAACCTGAACGTCTCACGAACAGAAATATTCGCACGTATAAAGGGATATTCGCGATGTAGAGTGCGATGAGAACTCCGAGGCAAATCAGGAATGTGTTCTCCTGTGCAACTGGAAAACTGCACATCATTGTGGCGCTGTAAGAGAGATTTAGAACATGGAAAAGGGGGGACAGTGCGTAGCTGAGTGATAAAACCCACGAGAACAACAGGCATGCAGCAGCTATTTTTTTGTTTAAGCGATGGTCGGGATTCATACAGTAGACTATGGAGCAGTACTTCTCCACCGTAAGTAGAAGGGAGGTTACCGCTGCCACACAAACAGCTGTGGTGAATATGATGGCTGCAAGTGGACAGAGGACACCTCCCCCCAGAACAAGCTTCTCGCCTGACTTCAATTTGTCACTCACGTTGGACAAAAAGTTGAAGATGTTCAAATCGGCAATGATGATGGAGTAAATTCCAATGAAGACATCACAAATCGCCATGTTGGCGATAAGAAGCATCGATGTTTTCTGGCGAAGGGATCTCGAGGAAAAAACCGTGATCAAGACAATTAAATTTAGCAGAATGGCTACTGAACCCATAATGTATGAGGTGTAAAATAGTTTCTTGGGCACGTTTAGTACTTTTGCTTTTTCAGCAGGGCTAGAAGTTATCTTACGAAATTTTGGAGAACATTTCAAAGGGCTGGCGCAAATTGAAAAAAATCCACGTTCGACAAACTTCTTGGCTGGACTGTCCTTACTGAGGGTGAATCCACTGGGAATATTCGATCTGACCAGCGTACAGTTTGCGCATTCGTCGCTCCATGTAACACCGTGGATGCGTCCTAGGGATGGCAAGTTTAATATGTTGCTATCTGGGGTCCAAGCACTTCCGGTAACGATTAAGGCCGTCAGGTTCGGAAGCTGGCGAATGACGTCACCTTCCCATCTTTGCAAAGGATTAAAGCTCAGGTCTCTGGAATGGGAAGAGGATGTCATTAAACAGTGAAGTTTGTTAAATTGCTCAGTTTATCTCAAATTGTCCGATTCTTGAAAGAGTGCTTGGAGCGAAGTTGTAATTAAGGACGTTGGCCTGAAAATTTTCCAGTCGATAGATTTTTTGTTTGTTTGTTTGTTTGTTTTACAACAGTCAGATGATGAGTTACTTGTATCAGAAATGCAAAAAAAATTGGGGGTAGCCGACTTCGTTTCAGAGATGAAGCGTGTAAAAAACTACCCTGATTTTGAAAAATTGGCGCACGTAATTCAACGTGTTTTATAGGGGTTTATTGTTTAAAATATCGAAGGTGAGTCAACGGAGGCAAACCTGGGTCTGTTGCGTAAATAATTCCAAATGTTACCAACGTTTTCACAAAACTTAACCCTTCAAGAGGAATTTAAAACCGTCGCACAGATAGACGAAGAGCTAAAAAGAACGGAATTCGATGGTGCATTTTGCAAAAAATTCAAACTTCTAGACCATAGAATTTCTTCATTTTTTCGCTAAACGTAGAACAGTGGTAGAGAAAATGATCCATCAAGAGAAAAATAGGGGTCACCGAACGTCTAAGATCGTTAAATTCAGGCAAAGCTATAGCAGTGGCCATCTGCCCTATCATTGTTCATTTTATTACTTAGCGCGGTCTCTTGCATGATGTGGCGTGTGAATTTGCGTGCGCAGTGAGGATGCGCCGAGACAATTAGCGCGAACGTCTTTAAAGCGCACTCTCCGAATGTCACAATGACAGGGTTTCACACGGAGGGTAATTTGTAGTGTTTCTTAACGTGATCTAATCTGACTCCAAAATTGAATTGTAGTGAAAAGATCTTTTTAAGTCAGATTCAAGTTGTCTCATTACCGAGTTTTTGACACTAAGATTGGCAGTGCTGAAGTTAGACGAGAAGGGGTATGAGGAGAATACTCACAATAATTTGACATTAGGGAGAGTTCCAAAGTCACCATCTTTTATAGTGGATATGTCGTTGTAAGCCAGAGAGCTGAAACATAATTCACGTTAAAATTATAACAGGCCTGCTGTAATAAGAATATGATTAAAATCTATGACATAGGGAAGGGACGGATTTGTTTACACTAATTAACCCTTAACTAGGAGAGGATGGAGATAGGGTGAGGGAGTTAATACCCCGTATAAACCTTATTCCCAAGGTGACCCCTCTCATGTTAGTTTAGATATGATATCTACACTGGGTATCCAATTCCCCTGCGGATAATCCTCCGTAGAAAAAAAGACGGCGGCTAGTACATTCACCCAGAATTTTAGCACACGAAAACTTTAACAACGCTCATAAAACAGTGGCGGACCTAGGGGAGGAGCCCGGGCTTCCCCCTTATCCTTATTTTGGATAAAAAAACAAAAACACTCGCAAAACGAAGAAAAACTGGCAAGGCAAGAAACCCTCCCCCTCCCCCGCTCCCTTAGCTCAAGGTGTGGATCCGCCACTGAAAAACTACAGAGAAGTTCTAGAATCTCAGTCAAACCTAGCATGCATTTCGTCAGCACAGGGACAAATGCTGCAAAAATACATATTTCCTTATAGTTATGGGCTGTGTAAGACTCACGTGGTATTGTGGTAAAATGTACAGCCGCCATCTTTTTTTTTTTTTTCCCTACGGAGAATTATACCACGCGCGTTCCAAGGCTGTTTCTTCGTGAAGGATGAAAGTCCGTGTGAGGGCACGGGCTGTCTACGTCAGCAGAATCTGCGTCACAGGGCTGGTTATTTCTGGAACCTCCTGTAATGGGATTTCTGAGACCAGGAATGGTCTAAAAAGAGCTTGATAGGGACTACCTTGCTAATAATAGGGAGTTTAAACAAATCGCTACGGCTGACTCTGATACGGCTGCCGGAAGTAAATTTCCCCCAAAATGAGACACTGCGCATGTACGTCGGTTGCATCCAGCCGTAGCGTGAAATCTGACTATGTGAGTCGGGATGTTTTGCCGTAGTGTCTACTACGTCGGTTTATTTCGCTTCTCTAGCCCTTTTCAACAGACATCTCGGCATTTTAAGAATTCCATTGAATGCTATATCCTTTGAACTCAATTTAAGTCAAAGATTGTGTCAAGGTTGGCTTTCATAAGCCTGTAAATCCGTATCCTGAATTTACGATAAGTTTTGGCAAAGGTCTTGGAATGGCGAAGCGAGTCAAGTGAAATATTCGTGTTGAGCACGAGGTTGTTTTTCTTCGGTTAAGTTTGCTTTGAGGGTTTAGTGAAGATGTTTTATATCTGGATAACTATACGATGCTATTTTGCTTCTTTGACTATTGATATATTTGTGTTCTTCACTAGATATTCTTTGAGATATTTGTCTCTGAGATTATATAGTTCATCCATCAAATTGTTATGGTACAAAGTGTATGGCATTCGCTTTCGCTGAGAAATAATCTGTTCGTCCAACCGAATAACAGCCATCGTCCTTTGACCGAAGCCATTTGGCTGTGAGAAACTAAATAAAAGAGATTTTAAACTCCTTAGCCGATGTTTCTTTCCCGGGGAGGGCGGGCACTGCCATATATGGGCTATATAGNCTTTGAGTATTGATATATTTGTGTTCTTCACTCGATATTCTTTGAGATATTTGTCTCTGAAATTATATATGTCATCCATCAAATTGTTATGGTGCAAAGTGTATGGCATTCGCTTTCGCTCAGAAAAAATCTGTTCGTCCTACCGAATAACGGCCATCGTCCTTTGACCGAAACCATTTCGGCTGTGAGAAACTAAATAAAAGAGATTTTAAACTCCTTAGCCGATGTTTCTTTCATCTTTTAATTTGTATTTCGCTTTACTGGCTAAACTTAAAATTTGGCAGACCACCGAGACGTACTCTCCCTAGACCTTTTCAGTCACGGCAGCCGTAGTATCACCAGCCGTAGTCATTTGCTTAAACTCCCTAATAGCGGAGCTCCGCGGGTTGGAGGCCCGACGGGCCGCCAAGCGGAGCACCATAACTATAGGAACAGAATCAAATGCATTTAAGAAATAGAAAACCATGCAGCTTTTCTTCATGGTCAACATGGCTAGCGGCTTAGATCGCGGGCGCGGGCGCCCCACGACGACGGCGTTGAGGTACAAGGCTTCCATACTCCAGCTAATAGGTCAACCAAATCATGCACCCTTGGTTTACACCGTACATCTTTGGTGTTAGACATCCATGTTCGTGTTTAAAGCGATCATGGGTAGCTGTCATACATCTGCTATCGCAGACCACGTCACTTCAACTGGTCACAACTTAAAATGGGACCACTTTGAGACTGATTAGCAAAAGGTTGGTCAGATTTACATTGCAAGATAAGACAAACTCTACTCCAATTAGGGAATTGAAATCTACCCTAAATGATAATGTTTACATCGAAAAGCTTCATCTTTATTAGTTTGCACTTTTCATATGCAATTTTTTTTCAACTTCAGTCATTGTTTTTGTTAATTAGTTTATTATCTTAAATTTAAACTGGTTAGTTGTTATACTTCTATCCTAAACGGTCACTTCTGAAGATGTATGTCGAAACATACGAAACGTCAAATTAACATATATAGTTTTATTTTTGTTTTCCAACAATGCGTTTTATTGTCATGTTTTCACCTCAGTTTGTGTGTTATTTCTTGTTATAATATAGATAGGACCCTGAGCGCGCTCTGATTGGTCAAAACCCATGTTTCATCAGAGTATAAAACATAGAAAAAGCGTGTTTTATTTTTTCGCCACATTACCTCTAGTCAACATTTATGCTAGAGATAGCGAAAAACATTTTCTTTGAAGTTTGTGATGGAGCTCCGTATT